ACCAGGTTGACTGCGCTTGGTTCCGGTCCTCAGAATCCATGTCTGTCTGAGCAGGTCAAAAAGCGGCATATCCTGCAATATTTTTAAGATGGATTAATCCATCTTAAAAGAGTGAGACAGATCAGAAGGCACACGAGTTGCAACCCAAACTACAGCATAGTGTCTGATCTTCTGTTTGTCTGATATTCTGTTTCACCTGTTGGTGCACCCATCTTCGATCCAGTAAGAAAACCTCTACCCTCTTCAAAATGAGTCTTGATCTTGAAGATTTGCAAAGAAAAATCGACGAAACATTCAAAGAACTGGAGGTGGCGATGCAACGTGAAACTGCTGAGTCGAAAGCGATTGAAGAAGGTACCAATAACAAGGAACTTCCGGTCAGTAAAGGTGAGTCATTCCTTCGGACTACTAGGAAAAACATGTGTCAACATTACCACTAACGATTCATATCAGGCCTAGACTACCCCGAGATCGCGACAAAAGTGAGACAAGTCAACTTAGCTGTTGAACCATCAAGCAGTGAAAAGTCTGGTAAGGCATGCATGCCATTCAATAATCTGATCTTCGGTGAGCCTTTGGTTATGGAGTGTTGTCAGGGCAAGAAAAACAAGCTGATGAAGCAACTTGGATGCCCTGATCCGGCTATGTTTTCAGTCTTAGTGTTTATACTCTCAACATGGGCGTTTGTAAGGCTCTGGACGCTGGCTGTCACATTCCCTTCTGAAAATCATACCAAACCTCAAAGTTCAACGTACTATATACCCGTATTCTAATGAATGTATCGATTCTAACAAGGTCTCAATGGAAAAAGAATCACAAATCAAAAGATCATGAGACATGTTTATGTTCGATTCTGGGTCAATCATTTGGTGGAATGAAAACTATGATTTGTATTTGAATTTTGACTCTCAATATTTCAGGATTGATATTGCCAACAGCAACTAGTGGAAAACGAAAACTTGACCTGGTATTCTACTTTGAAAGAGAATGGTGCATTTCCATCATTGGATATACTACATCACTGGAACTTGAGCAGGCTCGCCCGCACTTACACTTGATTAAAATGGTATAAACCTTACATCACATATCACCAAAAGCTAAATAATTGAAAAATCGTCAATCCTTCGATACTTTTCTCTTTCAAGGTTTGATAAAACGATAACCTGATGATCTTCATTGACAAAGAATTTCGAATTGCAGATTGGTTAGATATCAAACTTTTTTCGGTCTTTTTGATTTTGACTTGAGTGTTTTTGTCAAGACTTGCCAAATTTTGTTAATGATTTCAATTGTTTGGTATAAACTTGTGGCTTCAAAGCGATGTTTTTGATAAGATTACATCAATTGATTTAAATCTAATCCGTGATTAAAATCGGGACCATTGATTGAAATCGTTTCGGCCGGAATTGCTAGCAATGGAAACAAGATATTTCCTTTAGCTGGATTGAATTTGTCCTGATTATCTTCATTTTGACTTGAATTCATGATTCTTCAAGTAATGCTTTTAGCTTTAGATTTCAAGCGTAATTATTGAATCATAAAAGTTAAATATGTTCATTCAATGATATTGTGATGATATGAATACTTCAATTTCCAGATCGGTTTGCAGAATTCAATCTTGGTTGAAAATTTTCGAAATCAATTTTTCTTGTTTGACATCAGGTTTATCAAAAAATACAATTAAAGTAAGAATTCAACTGGTGACGCTTAGCTTTTGACAATGCATTATACTGAAGCTGGATATACAGCTACAACGACTAGCAAGGTAAGACAGGAAAAATCAGAAGAGATTATGCACTACAGCGGAGGTAAGTGGTAGTGTTGATGACTGCTTGAAGTTTGTATGTAATAGATGTTGTCAAAAATTGGAATGAGGCGATATACCGATATGGAATTAATATTGTGAGCAGAGCATAAGGAATATGACCTGAAGTTCCATTGAAAGAAAGCCTGTTGACTTGGAGTGTGGAAAGAGACTTTTTTGGTTTTGCAACATGGTCAAGGATTGACTTGAGTGGCGGTGGTAACGTGGTAGCTGACTATGGCAAGAGGACTTCGATGTGGAGTATGGATGTCCGTATTTAGGATTATGACACCGTGAAATATGATGAAGAGCTGAAGTTGTTGGAGGCAAGAATTGCTGAATCCACACGCACCTCGCGAGCAAATCAAGGTTTCAAAAGATTCATCATGGCTTAAATGAATTTACATGTATCTAATTCTGGTGTACATACAAGAAGGAAAACATCAAATTGACCAACACCTTGCACAAAGACTTGAAAACTTTTTGGATTCATGGATCTCGCGCTGTCTCCCGCGGTGTGTCTTATCAGTAAGGGAAATCGTTGAGCTTCAGGATCTCAGGCTTTGGAGGGTATGTCCTGACCTTCCTAACATGATTGACATCTACCACAGACTTTTGTTGCTTATAGACTAATTCTGTCTGAAAGAACAAAACATATCTCAGACATATTAATGAATTTACAGGGAATTGAGTCACAAACAGAAAGATATATTTTATGTGGTTTTTGTCGCAACTTTCCCCAGCTTAGGTGGGCGGGAGGTTAATGATTACTTGTGGAGAAAAATAAACGGTTGGGAAAAAACTTTTAAGATGATGATAACGGATGGATGAACTAGGGCACTACACATAAAGGAGCAGTGCAGGCATTGATATATACGCGTATATACATACAAGTATATGCAGATATGAACAGCCAATTCTAGGTGCGAAGAAAAGGGAACATTTATGAATTACACTAGGACAGGTTTAAATTAAAAGTAGTAGAATCCTCAAGCGCTTAATATTGAAATAAATAAGGATAGAAGCAATATGAATGCCCACTTCCAAGCGATGAAAACCGCAAAGTAACACACAAAGATCAGAGCCAATAGTGTACTGGCTGTTGTGAATTTCCGTACATTGTGCATAAGAGCCTGAGGCAAAGAACTGATTTGATCAACTTTGACCTCGCTTTTGCAACTTGAAGGCAAGTTGAGCTGAGTATGGTGTGGCAAGTCACTGCATAAGGGGTCATCATTCACACCGTTGTTTGGCATCCAAACCCTACCTGGGGAAGGCGAAGCAAGTCAATTCCCAGGACAAATTGGGGGCTGGTCTACAGATGGATGTACCTGTGCTTTTTCCATTTTTTATAGTGGTACTCGAAGCATCATCACTGACATGCATATGTTGGGTGCCAAGGGTAGTACATCCACTGCGTTGGCCCGATGATGAAGAACCCGAAAAATTCTGCGCCGGTCTATGGATGGGCATGCCTTCGGGTTCGACGTTTTCTATGATGGTTTTCAAAGCATTCTTACTGACAATATTCTTGTGTTGGTTGCTGGGGGTAGTGGCCAATCCACTGAACTGTACGGATTTCGAAGGACCCGAAACATTTGAGGCTGGTGTATTGATGTGCGTGCTTTTGCTTTCGACGCTTTCTACAGCAATATCCAAAGCATCCTCCTCACTGCCAGGCTGCTGATGTTTGTTATCAGGTGTAGTAAATGCACTTCCCAAGCGTGACTGAACCGATAAATTTGGGGTTGGTGTATGCATAGATATACCTGCGCTTTCAATATGTTGGGAAGTTGCATTTGAGCTGATGGACTCCTTATGTTGAATTTCTGGGGTAGTAAATGCGCTGAGCTGGCCGGATTTTGAAGAACCCGCATGGCGGTCCTTTCTAATTCTCAAGATGAAACTGTCATCCGTCAAAGGCCACGGGTGCGCGGTCTTATGTTTGCTTGTAGAAGCTCCGGGGACTGTTTGCAAGGATTAGAGATATAAAAAAGGCACTGGTCAGAATCTGGGTTAAATTCCAGAACCTTTGAAGCTCTGACCTATGTTGTTGGTTTTATTTTGAGGAGAAAACTGATCTCCCTGCCTTCTTGTAAAAGGAAAGGCGACAAAATCATCTACTATGATCACATTGACTGGGTGTGAGTCGACTGGTGGCAATGATTTTGCACGTGGAGAGAAGACTTACTTCCATAAGCTGGGAAGCCCGGGCTACAGGCAGGATGCAACGTACTACTCGCCGTGTGCCGGATGACACCTTGCTTGTTTAACGCTACACAGTCCGCACATTTTTTTTTCCGCGTTATTGTGCTGCTACAAGTGGTGAGGTGAGGACATTCGTAGGCTGCTGTCATTCTGTTCATTTCGCTGCTTGTGATGCGATCGGAATCAGGAGTGATATGGTTTATGGGAGAGGTCAGGGCCAGTGTAAAGCGATAACGTTCAGGACAAGAGTTGTGTGGGCTTGTTGTGGAAGCAGAACCAGGAAGGTAATTGAGACGTACTTATAGGAAAAATTATCGTCAATCTACACGGATTGAAACTTAGGAAAGACGAAAGCACAAAGGATTTCAGTGTGAGGCTTAGCTGCTTACCACCCCGAAGACTCAGCATAGGTTTCTCTTACCAAGTCAATCAATTGATGCGCAAAACCGTATCAGCCGTTTGATTTTTATCCTGAGAGCGTTCGATGTTTAGTGATGTGAATGAGGGGAGACAAGGGGCTCGACAGGCGTAGTGTATTCATGTCCTCAACAAGGGGGGGAACCAAGAAATACACTAAAGAAAGGTTAAAACATTCAAAGAGACTAGAAGAGAGAATATTCAAATTCTTGTACTGCAGAATAGCTTGTGGTTGTCGACAACCGGGGCCTGGTGCAAAGTACCATATCTCCTTTCTGGATATTTTACAAACTTGAACGATATTTGGTGAACCTATCATTACATCACACTACATAGAGCAGAGGCGAGTGCGCCCGCCGCAGGACCTGAAGCTCAAGATTAGGCTAATCTTAAGCTTGAAAACTGTTTTTCAACGCTTGGCTGTGATACTCTTGGAAGTCTCAAACTACGTTGCAGTTTACATTGGGTATATCGGATTTGCTGAAAGAATAGACCAACGGGCCTAGCCAGACATTTCTTAGTGGCAACGGCCTTAGAGCCTGGAAAAGATGATCACACTGATGCGCGATGAGTGGTAGGAAGAGATGCCCCATGATGTGACTTGGCGCAGGGAGTAGAATCTGACCAGTGGATCGTCAACCAGAAAAAATTACATTGAGCATATCACGTTTTTAATTTTACTTGCAGAGATCTTTTAGGACATTTTCATTGGATACATCTAGCTCTCGTTTTTTTAAGTGTGATTGCTATGACATTGTTTGTATATAACAAGTTGATACGTCAAACCACATTAACATCTGATTTACTTTTTCTGTTTCAAACAATGGTTCACATTAATGGGTGTATTTATGTTGTGGTATTTGAATTGGATCAGACAAATTGTATCTTACATTTCGATTATTTGACGAATTAAGCGTCATTCCTGCGGAGGAGAAAGTCGCCAATCTCTCTTCTAAGGGATTTCGACATCTTGGTCATTGTAATCATCAGACCTTAAAAAAGTGTAACAACGTACTTGAATCTTCCCATGAAAACCACTCTTTCGTGATATCCTCGATATCGTGGAATTTTCCTTTGACCTCTTGCATCAACCTTATAAATGATGACAAGAAATATTGAATTTATCAATGAGACTCATGTTAATCTTGATATAAGGTTTTGATTTGGTATTGCGTGCTCAAGAGAATCCAGCATCTTCTCAATTCAGAGAGTTTCTTTTACTCTCGCCTCGCTTTTTTCTCTGCAGAACTATTCTCCTTTCATCTTCTTGGACTTCTGTTTCAAGACTTGCGTTGTTCAATTCTTCAAAGTGAAGCGTTGAATTTTCAAGAGATTTCTGATTTCTAATCTTTGACTAGAGTTTGTTTTTAATGATCTCATGTGTAGAAAAAGGAATAATGAATGAGGTGTTTAGGTTAACCTGTCTATTTGTTTAGAAGGGTGGTGAAGACTAGGTTGCGGTTGTCGACAACCGCGGCCTGGTGCACGTTTCACTGGGCTGTCACACCGTTGCCACTAGACTTGTAATGTATATTAAGCCGCCTGTCAAGCAGCAGACTGCAGAGTACACACCTACATACATACCCTAACTGATGTTGGTGTTCAATCGACAAATCATTATAATCAGGATATAAATTATCAAATTGACGCGAAAAGAGAAAGCTGTGAAAAAGATTGACAAATAAAGACAGAAGGGGAGATATGAAAATGAGTCGCAAATAGGAATTACATTGCCCCAATGTATTTGAATGAAAGTCTTACTCATATACATTGGAGCTCGATCTCAATCATACTTCTCTTTCCCCATCTTTGGGAAGAGAAGTGAGTCATTTCTTTTTTTAGCCTCTTACTAGATACATCTAGCTCCTGTTTAATACCGTATATGCGCTACCACCCGCTCTTCCGGCTTCTTCTAGCTTCTTCTCCCTAACCTTCCTCCTGCAATATACTGGCGGTCAAACTCTACTTCGGGATTGATGGGAAGGTTTCAGTATCCCCCGCTCTGTCGGCAGCATGCCAAGATGAGCTTGCTACCAAAAAATGGTAGGTACCTACCTACCTTTCCCCTCAGCTCAGCAAAGGACACCAGCCAGCTGGGAGGCTGGCATATGGACAAGTTGCCATGCTGCCGAACCCCAGTGATCTGGCTAGTCTCCACGACAAGTTGCGCGTTGAAGAGTCGGATCTGGATGCTGTCTTAACCATAGGAACCTTTGCCGATAAGCTGAGGGAATTAATCTTTCAAACTTTAGGATTGCATGCAACTTCCCCCGCCCCCGCGCTTCATCAAGTGCGATTTTATCAGCAAGAACCTGTTCAGGAACCACCCGTCCAGTCCCACAGGTCATCATCTCCATTGACGGAGCTCTCTGAGCACTCGGAGCGCTCATCATCACCATCAACGGAGATATGCGAAGTCGAGGAACGCTTGCCTGAACAGCCACCTTCCCCATTCCATGCATTCCATGAACCAACCTCAAAGGCTAATCGCCTTGTCCATTCCTCTTTGAAGAGACCCGCGGAGATCGATGAAACCGTCCAGCGTGCGTTTTACATCTGGCAGATTCTCACATTCACTACTGACCCTTGTCCGTTTTCAAAGATAAGGGAAAGCAACGGCGTACCGAGTTTGTTCCTGCTGCCTATGTTCCATCAAAGCCAGCACAAGATTTCACCCCGGCCCAGATGGTTATTCAACGGAAAATGGCATTCGAATATGTACAAAAGAGCATTCGCGACGGTCATGTTGTTTCTTTGGATTATGACCTCGCAGTGGCAAGGTTCCTGCAGGAGACATCGCATCTCAATCTAGGGGACATACCACATGCAGTCGACCTTGTGCTAGCGGGATCGGAGCGCCAAGGGCTGTCGACTTCACTACAAAGTGACGCTTACCAGTGCGCCAAGTACATCAAGAAAACATTGCTGGCCTACGAGTCCGATCCACAGCAGGGAAAACCCTTTGCTCTACGTTATCCCAACTTACACGCTTTGAGAGCCCGCGCCATGACAAATATTGCCTCCATGCGCGCGATGCCGTCCGACATCCCTGTTATTTTGCTCGACATTGCTGGGCGAGTGCTCGCAATTGGACTGCCTCCAAAACGACATGATACGCCTGCCACTAAGGACAGCCTGGTACACCCTGCTGAGAATGAAGTGGTGAGTCTGTTTTCGCGATCTTTTGTTATATCAGCCAATAGTCGCTTATATTCAAAATGAAGCGAGTCAACCCCCTAATGGAAACCATCAGCGTGTTCGGGACCGACAAGGATGGCACAGTAAGCTTCTGTAAAGAATCTTGATAGCCAGCAGTTACTCATAATTACACCCACACTGCTAAGAACAGCGCCGTGAAGCCTACCATGGATCGGGCGGTGAGATCCTTTCAAAAATCATATGACGTACCAGCTGCCAATCACGTATATTCTTACCCACAGGAGCGCGCACTCCTTGCTTGCCTTGGCTTGGCAAGAGTATATAACCTACCAATTGTGGACCAAGAACTCTTCGACCAAGCGCCCAAGAACCGTCCCACAAGTCTGACACCTTTTCCACTCACTTTGAAGAGCGGGTCACAGCTCTCCCAATCTAGTAGCGAAGTTTCCGCACATATTGGGTCGATATATGGATCGGTCCAGTATCAGTTGATTGGGTATGGCTTAGGTGCGGTAAGTCGCACTCTATTTCTGAATATGTCTCTGTAGATTTCAATTACCTGATAAAGGGCTCCCGGCGATATCCTCAGATCAATTCAGCCAATATTGCCGATAAGAAGCTGGCCTTTGGTCCGGCTCGCCAGGGATCTCTGACCGCCAATGCCGCATGGCAACAGTGCGCTGTTGGCCGAGAAAACCTACCGCAGGCACTTCAGATGGGGAATGGCCCACTATACAAGGCACGCGAAAATGCCAGAGTCACCATTGAGTTGGGTTGGCAGTACGATGTGGCCCTTGCAGTTATTCTGGGTGTGCAGCCAGAGGCGTACAGAATAGCGAATCAGAACATCGATTTACTTTCTCGGGAGGGCGATGTGCTTGTGCGACAACGGCTCGCTGACACGCGTCATCGAATCCTGTGTGGTAAGTCCCATACTTTGTCAGTCTTTAACGCAACTCACCATAGTTTCATTACGCAGGCCGCCAAATCTCGTACATCATGCAGTGTGACTATCACACGAGATGGCAAGAACTCAAATCTGCTTGACTCTGTTTTCTTCGCTAGGGCAAGCATACAAGGGAGCAAGTT